TGTATTGGGATAGGGTAGCACAAAAGTGGTGACGGAGACAATGTTGCTTGTTCAATGCTTGCCTAACATCTAACTCGGTCTGCGTCACTGAACTGGCGGCTCATTCGCTCGCTCAGATGAAGGGGATGCCTGCTTTTCCTGGCTCCCACGACCTGCGTTTCTGTCAATTTGTTGCCGATAGGAGCAAACACTTGTTAAAGCCGGTGAGATTTACATCTAACAAGACCCTATAGTCTATCCTAGTCTGCAAATTTCATGTTTAACTTTTTTTGGGTAACAAGCAGATATTTCTGATCTGTAATATGTACTAAAGACATAGTATACAAAATTTATATCGTTTGATCATGTTATGTAAAGATTCGAGATTATCTAAGAATTATTGAAATTATATTGCATATTTTTTAATAATTCTTTAGATGTATTGCAAGTCAGATGTATCTTGAACTTCTCAACAAGACCTTGCAGTTCAACCTGTAAGGCCTGTTTTTAGAAACATTTAGCCATTATCGTTTTGTCTAAGAGCTCATAGCAACATGCACAGTGCATTGGTTTGTATTTTTCTTTGCTTATACATTATCAGTATAATAATAAGAGGGAAGTTTCTAAGATCATCATATTCTCAATTGGCAACACTAGTGTTTCATCTGCTCCTACATTCTCATAGATGTTATATAATATTTACAGCTGATAGGGAAAACTCACTGTTTTTATCACAAGTATTACATAGAATGTACATACATTACAATGTAAATTATATGTAATTGACAATATGAATGAACACAATGTAAATGAATATTGGAATATTTAAATGCATGTATTATTGTTGAAATTTTTTCAAATCAATCGTTTAAATTTTCCACTGATGTATCCAGTAATGTATCCAGTTTTAGATATTATGTTTTTCTCACATCCTCTCGGAGCGAGAACGCGTGAAACTTGGATAACTTGATTTCTATCAATATTTTATTGTGTAATATACCGTACCACATTCATATACATATCACCACACGTTAATTCAACATCTGCAAGACGCGCTAACCGCTAGAGATCGACGTTAGAACTTTGCAAGCTAGTGGGTCGAAAAGCAGTCTCGGCTGAATACTACTTGCAAGATCAAAAACTCGCTGCAATGTTTAAAACGCATGCTACGTGTCCATTATGCAACTCCATTAAACCTACTTTGCGTTGATGCAACACCCAAAAATGTGCGTTATTAAATACTTTTAATATTGTCGCAGTATTGTGTTCATCAAGTTAATATAGTTTAATTCTGCTGAACTATATAAATGTATCATTTTTATTTATATTATCTCGAAATTTATATTATCTCGAATCTCTCTGTTTCCAATCTCGCAAATTTAATGGACCATCTGTACTTTATTTCGACAGATCCTAAAGCACAAGATTGACGGCATCAGAAGAATATCTTCCCATCCGCTCTTACCGCTATGTGAGTATACTTATTATATTTTGACATACATACATACACGAATACAGACGTAAGACACTTATCATGATTGCAAAAATTATGGAAGATTTTACAATAATATAACATGTTTATTTTCTTTCTTTATGGTGACTCCAGACTTGACCGGATCACAGGATGGCTCTGTATCTTTATGGGAGTGGGGACATCAGACGGCAGTCGCGACTCCGAGAGCGCCTGGCACTTTCGCCAAGGTGACCCGCGTACGATTCTCACAGCACGGAAACAAGTTTGGCGTGGCCGATTCCGATGGTCATCTGAGTCTGTTTCAAGTGGCGTGTCGGGAAGGAACGGCTCGACCATTCTTCGTAAGAACTTTCATACCTCGCTTAAAGTGTTAAAAGAACCATCATTAAAAGTACTATTTATTTATTGAAATTTATTATTTTAGACCTATCAGTGCCACAGCAAAGTTACCTCAGACTTTGTCTTCCTCGGCGCATGCAGTCTCGTGGCTACCGCCGGTCATGGCTCGGAAGGGCGGAATGTAGCACTATGGGACACGTTACTTCCACAAAACAAATCTCTCGTACAAGGTACAAATAATAATCACATGTATAAATAACTGTACTTGCATATGAACGGATGACAAGATATCCTGATATTTCTCTTGCAATTATCCGATTGTGTTTCGTCAAGGTTTCATGTGTCACGAGCAAGGAGCCAGCGCGTTGATCTTGGCGCCACAACATCAACTATTAATTAGCGGCGGCAAAAAAGGCGACATCAACATATTCGACGTGCGGCAACGACAACAGAGACATAGATTCCAGGCGCATGAGTCGGCTATCAAATGTTTAGCCCTTGATCCGCACGAAGAATTTTTCGTTAGCGGAGCGGGTGATGGTGATATTAAGGTAAATAAATTTCATTTTCTTAAATCACGACTCTCTATAATAAGAGAAATACAACTCCATTTATATTCAATAATAAATTTCATTCGCAGATATGGGGTTTGACCGTCCATTCTCTTCTCTACTCATTTCCTGGTGAACATCCACGATCTAGTTTCTTTAAAAATATAGGGCAGGTACTGTATCAATTCAGTTGATCGCATAAAACAGGGATAATAATGTAATCATTTATCGTGCAGGGCGTTACCCAGTTACACGTGGACTCTGCGGGCCGATTGTTTTCATGTGGAGCAGATGGTTCGATGAAAGTTCGTCAACTGCCAGAACGCGATTGTGTAATACAAACGCTTTATTAGAATTAAAAAGATAATGAAAGAAAGAAACGATTACTCTGTAAGTATATTATGTGAAAGAGCGCCGATATTTATTGATTATATAAATATATATATATATATATATATATATATATATATATATATATATATATACATACACCAAACATACATACAAAAGACAAATCGTTAAAGAAGTCTGTGCAATTCACTGATTACTATTGTACGATACATCTATATTACTTTTACATACAAACTGTGCAAACAATACAATGTTCCTTTGCATGGCTAGTATGTTGTGTTGATAAGCTAAACGAATGTTATATATATATATATATGTATGTATGTATATGTATATATATATATATATATATATATATATAAAAGTATGTATGTATGTGTATATTGTTTTATCAAGACTACTTTGTTACATATATGATAAAGTAGTAAATCCTGCACGAATATTGTTGTTGTTGTCTAAAATTGAAGCTCTTATAAACATAGTGAAGCTGTAGCCTTAGATAGCGTATCCAAGTGTTTCCCTCAATTAAAGAACAAAAACAAAATAAAAAAAGGAAAAGAAAAAAACCAAAGCAACGCGACGCACACGAAATACATGAGTAACCGTAGTGCCGAGATGCAATATTAGAACGGCACTACATCCTAAAGTGTATTTCATGTGTAGCATACATAGCGCTATATATGATATATACATGATCATTCCTTTCTCACATGAAAGTAATATTGAACGATTCGATAAATTACATGTAATAATCTACGTACCTTCATATTTTAATATGTAATATATGTAATATTTATAAATCAGTTGAGAGATGAATTTTATTATTTAGCAGCAAATAATTTAAACGACGATTTAGCCGATCTTTACAGCGGTTATTGACTAGTGAAATGTGAGATATTTCTTTACGCTAAAGAGAAACATTATAGGTTTCTGTGTATTATTTGTTAAAATAGAAACGTGTGCAATGTAAGTTATTGTTGTACAATATACGTTCGATAACTTGGCTCGAGACAAAATCCTCTAAATATTCCAAAGTACTCCTCTTCGATGCTTTTTCATCATCGCTATTCTACGACGTACATGTATATATATATATATATATATATATATATATATATATATATATATAATATATATACATATACTATCCTCAGAAATAATAAATTGGATAATAATTAAAATACTATAAAATATAAAATTGCAGGCAATTTTTTGGAACTGAATGAAATACAAAGCCTGAAATCTATATGTTGCCTTCTGATAAACTCTCTGTTTTTCTAAGTGTGTAATATACTTACTTGATAATTACAAAACAGCATATATATATATATATATATATAGCTGTGAAATATCTTACTGTATAATTATCTTTTATCATATGTATATATGTACTTTATTGCAATAGTATGAATTATCAAATTACTTCAATATCAGCAGAGAGTACATAAAGGATAAGATAATATTTGGAAAGTTTTACAGTTAAACTATTTTTTAACGTTTAAACCTGCTTCGATGAACTTCGTTGTTTCAAATATTTGATAAATATATTTTTCTTATATCCAATTTTATATCATATGAATTATATATACATGATTAAGAGTTGCTTAATATGAATTTATTTAAAGATATATAATGCTGGCCCAGTTTTTCGTAATTTTTAAATATTTATGATATTAATAACTGTTGCAAATATAGATTCTGTTGAAAACATATATAATATACTTTATATATATATATATATATATAATTATAAAAAAAATTTAATTTCATTACATATATGCACGTGTTGAATAATAACATTCTTCTATCAATATATAAGATCAAATACATTTTGATTTATATAGGTCACTTATAAGGATGTTAATTGATTTCTTACACTTTAATTCAAAGTTATAAAATATTTACCATTATAATAAAAAAGGATAAAATGTATATTAATTGCCTAATAATTTTAAGTATTTTTTTGTTATATATGAATACAAAAAAATTTTCTATAAATACATAAAATTAGTATTTATACGTTACATATACGATTATAGAACATTTTTATGAATTTTTATTTGAACTGTGTAAGCAAACTCGATATGGCATTGTATACTCGATTATATAATAAATATATGCAAATTAGAAGTATCGGTATATCCAGCTTTTGAAATATATATATATAAATTTACTACATAAACATAACATTATTATTAAATTCAAATTTTATGCAATAATATACATTATTATATTTTATTAATATTAAAGTGGAGAAGATGAATAATTTATATTCGGATAATATATCTCTTTAGGTAGTTTTGATGTGCTTTTTTTAAATTCAACTATTGTATAGCTTTTTTAATATGATGCAGTATTACATCTTATTGTAACAGTATAAAGAGTGAAATATATCGCTTTTTAAACGTGCCATTGATTGTAAAATTTATATTCTCGTCGAAATATTTTTATGGACGACAACGTTCCATAAAACGCGGGTATAAGCATACTTCACGTATGTGATATCTGTTTAACAACCAACACAGAAATCGTTCCAATCCCAATCCGTAACCACCGTGAGGACAAGATCCATACTTCCGCTGTAAAATAAGTAATATAAAAATTATTTAATTTATTATTTATTATTCCACAATCATGATTTACGAGATCTTATTCTCTCTCGTATTTACCTGGTCCGTGTACCAGTAGTACGGAGTCGGATCGATATTTTCACGTTTGTAGCCTTCTAACAACTCTTCGTAATTCCAGATACGCATCGAACCGCCGACAATTTCACCTACATTTGGCAAAAGCACATCAACGGATTCGGTTAAGCGTTCATTTTCCGCGCAACGCTGCATGTAAAATGATTTAATTTCAACGGGGAAACGACAAAGCAGTATAGGCTCGTTAATAGCGTCAGTCATTTTCCTCTCCGGCATCTCTGGAATGTCCTACAGAAAAATGATTTTGAGATTATAGATTTTGTCCTGAAGAGATGGTGCAAAAATATATAGATATGAAAACTTACTTCACCAAACTCGTAAAAACTACCGTCCTCTTTCGTGATATTATTTTCTCTCAAATATTCGATCGCGTCGGTGTAGTTCATTCGTTTGAAAGGCCTCTTGGGGATTTGAAATCCGGGATTCAATTCTTGTACAAGATGACCGAACGGTGATTGCAGAACTCGTTCGACTACATCACAAATTAAATCTTCTAATCGATCAAGTAGATCATCGAACATGATGAACGGACATTCTGCCTCAATATGCGTGTATCTGTGAAAAATTATAATTTACCATTAAAGGATAATTATAAAAAGAACACAGGTACATATACAAAGAAATTTGCATACGAACTCGGCAAGGTGGCGACGAGTTCTCGATTGTTCTGCTCGATAAGATTGCGCGACGCAATATACATCTCCCATTGCTGGCATGCACGTTTCAAGATATAGTTGAGAACTTTGAGTAAGAAAAGCATTTTCTCTGAAAAAGACATTAATTAATTGATTTATAACAATATATTTAAAAATTTATTGGCTAATATATACCCAAAATAATCTAATTTGAAGAGAGTTGAGCCTCCTTCCACTTGAGTTTGCACTAAAGTTGGTGGAGTTACTTCATAATAACCACGATCTCTGTAATGATCTCTAAACGCTTGAACTAATATAGATCTCATGATTAAGACTTTTGATGTCTGAAATAGATAATAATTTTTATGATGATTTAATTTTAAAAAATTAAGTCATTATTAATTGAAAAAAAAACTTTTGTATTATACATTTTCTCCTCGAATCATTATGTGCCTATTATCCAATTGTACATCAGGCAGAGCTTCTTCATTCAAAATTGAATCAGCCCCACCAGGAGGCGACGAGCCAATAAGTTTCCAATAATCAACATGCAATTCATGCCCATCAGGTGCCTAAAATTAAACAATGCATATATAAATATACATTTTATCCATATAATCAATAATGTAGGATGTGATTAACATACATTCTTCCCTTCAGGGACAATTTTTAAAGTCCCAAATAGTTGAACAGCAGCTTCAGTGGCAAGAGTCAAAGCATCATATGTTTGGCAAAGCTTATCAGTCAGTACACATTGCAGAAAACCTGTCCCATCTCGCAACATGATGAACATGAGAGCTTTGCCTATGAAAATTAATTGACAAATTATCTTATAATAGAAATAAATTAAAATATATAGTGATATACCTTGTCTTCTTAGTCTATGAACCCATCCAAAAAGCTTAACTCTTTGATCTCTGTGATTCAGAGCTTCTTTTATTTTAATTTGCTTTGCTTCTGGTAGAGATTTATCCTCTTCTATGACAATTGCCTTAGCTTCTTCAAGATTTTTCAATCTTTTTTCTTCATCCTCCAACAACTTCTTCTCCTTCTCTTCATTTTTATGCTGTTCTCTAACCCAAATCTTTTGTATCTTCTTTAATTGAGATTTAGATGCTAGTTCATATTTTTTACCATCTTCACGAGAATCGTGATAAATGACTGGAAAAGGTTCTTTACCAGCATGATGCATCGCTCTTAGAATAGTTTTGAAGGGGTTTTTTTCTGAGCCATCTCCTGTCTTGTCACTCCCATTCTTCTCCGATGTATAAATACCTTACAAAATATTTTTCTCATTATAAATGTTATTTAATTTTATATATAACATATGTATCACATATAATATGTATTAATACTATATACGATATATATATATATATATATATATATATATATATTATAATATATATAATTTTTTAAATTATTTCTCTTTTTATGATTGTTATTGCAATTAGATTTCTCTATTACATTAGGATGCAACTTACCTATTGATGAGGATATTTTTTTATCAGACATATTGATTTGCAATCTACTTCCAAGTATGTATATGTATAACTGAATATACTGTAATGCAAAAAAAAAACATTAATTATTACATTATGCTTCTACTAATATTAATATATAAAAAACATAGATTTTAAAATAAAATATAACAATAAGATAATCTTGTATTAACACGTGTATAAAGTATTTTATTAAATATGCGAAATGAAAGATATTTTCTAACCTATATTTTTTCTTATTTGCAGATACACCAGGTAATTGAAACAATTTTAAAGAATAGTTTTTTTCACTGCAAGCTTCGATATAAATGCAATCAAATGCAACGTGTCGTCAGCAACGTTCCGCACTGCTCTTCGATCGTTAAATCCGGTATCCGGTACGAGGTATGATATGGGTACACAACATATATCTATATTTATGGCAAACCCACAGTGCTCTGTGACGACTTGCGTAATCGAACATTTAAATCTTGAAATATAAATTATTAGTTTATGTCTTAATTTTGTTTTATAATTTCTTTTATTAAATAATATTAATTGAATAACATTAAATAAGAGAGAAATAATTCTCACAATTAAAAAATTGCTTGCAAAAATAATATGTTATTAAACTTAGATAAAAATGAAAAATTATTAAATTTTTCTCATGTATGTATATATTTATTAGATCTATATAAATTTTATTAAATTATAAAAATAATGTGATATGATATAACATGATATAACAATATAACAATGAAATATTTTATTAAACAAATTGATTATACATTGATTATATATATTTCCCAAAACCACAATTGTTATCTATCTCAATTATATAATATAATAATAAAGTTTAGTTATGATGTACAAAATTCTTTATTTAATAATATTTATAATATAAAGAAATTATAAGTTTCCTTAAATATATATTTTTTTATGTAGAACTATACTTTTTTCTATGTGTTCTGGCACTCTGTTCTGGCATATAAAATGTAATACACTAAAATAAAAATTCCAAATTATATATATATATAATATATATATATATATATTCTTTAATTATTATAATTGTATTACGTAAGTTAAGAAAAAAAGAAAATAAACCTGCTCATCCAAGTAATCCATGAGATTAGAAAACTTGCATTTAAACCCGTGTGTCCGCAATGTATGATGCAATTCTTTAATGTTTACAGGTTCATATTGCAATATTTTATTATGTAAATCTTTATCAACATTCAATAGTCCTGTAAAAGCTTCCGTGATGTTAGATGGATTTTCGAGTAATGATTCAGTATCAGAAAGTTCCATTTCTCTGCCAATTGAATTTTGTCCAGAACTTACATCGCTATCACTGCAATAGACACAAACAATATTGTTATATTATGACTATATAAAATATATTTTATTAAGCATTATTTGAAAAAAAAATATTTAATGCTTATACTAAACCTATTTTGAGAACAAAGTACTTTGTCATCACTGTCTTCTGGATTATTTAATTTTTCCAAACTATTATTATCCACATTTCGTTTTTTTGATGGTGGACCCTCATCTTCATCACTTGAAATTTCAGTGACTTCCTGTATTGATGTTATTTCAGCTATAGGCACTAAAGGGTGAAGTTCATTATAAATATGCGTTAATAATTTTACAGCCCTGCCACGTTTTTGTACCTTTAATCCATATTTCTTCATTTCTTTCTAGAAATTAAATAAGAAAAGAAAAGAAAAATGCTAATAAGAAAGGAAAAAGCACATTCATATTTTTTATAACAGTTTATTATTATCAATAAACTTACGTTCAATTCGGGAGTTTTCATACCAATGTAATTAGGCGGAGGTGTAACATCTTTTTCAATAATTTTAAGTGCAGTTTTCGTATTTTCAATATTTTCATTATAATTATATTTAAAGTGTATAGATGCTTGTGTAGATATCTCTCGATTATGTAATCTATTTATGTTAATTTGTCCCTCAGATAAGGATTTCTTTTTAAACTTTCTAATGCTTACAGAATTTTGCGTCAAAAACGTGGGATTACTGTTCAAGTTTTCACAAACAGGTACGATATCATTATTCGCCATTGAATTATTAACTCTGATATTTCCATCATCATTTTTATTATTACGTCTGCGTGCACTATTCTTTTTAAATTCTGTCGTATTTAATACGCTAGTTGACTGACTCTTTTCCAAAACATGCTTCCCATACATATTAACATCAACATTTGCAAGATATATTTCATCTTCAAAATTAAAAGACGATTCGAAGTTTTCCGATTTTCTTGGTTCACGAGTATTTGTTTCTGATGTAAATTCATCACGATGTTCTAGAAGTAAGTTTTCTACATCTAAAAACTCTGGACTGGAGGGTACCATAATCGGGCTTGAAATAGAGTTTTCCTTTTGATCATCATTTAATTCATTAAATCTGGACTTTTTCTGCATGAAACTTATATTACAATCTATATCATTAGATGTCATCTCTGTACTGCTAGCATTGAATTCCTCTTGATTTGATTTAATTGAACTATTAAAATCTTTTTCCTCTTCTAAGTCTGTGATTACAGTTTTTGGAATACCCTCAATTTGGACGAATTGATTGCTTTTTTGACTTTCTATATTTTGTTTGTTACATTCTGTTATTCTTTCAGACTGCTGTGTGGAACAAGGCAGAATATCTTCATATTCAAAATCATCTTCCTTCAAAATGACAGGATTAATACTAGAAGATATGCTTTCAACTTCTGTGTCTGATGAAACGATAATATCCGCGTCTTTTTGTGTTAAAACAATTTTATCCAGAACATTATTTTCAGTATCATTAATATTAACATTATTTTCAGTATCATTATTCTTATTGATTAAATCAGATGATATATTTTTTTGAGATAAACTATTACTTAATCCATTCCTGATTGCTGCACGATAATTTGCTATACTATTATCCTTGTGATCTTTCATATATTTAGAATACATAGAAATCTCTTCTTCGTCCGTTTCTACATCCAGGACAGTTTCATTAAACGATGGATTCGTTGTTTGTGGCGAACATACTGCTGATGCCTTAGTGACTGCGATTTGTTCTGAAATATTAATATCTTTCTCATCTAGTGAAGTAAAACTTTGTGTATTATTACAAGAAGATTCCATTGACATCTTAGATATAGGAACCATATGCAAAGTATTAGTCTGTTTAATGTCTACATCATTATTAGAAAGATGAGAATAGAATTCCGGATTTTTATCAGCATACGATCGCATACGTTGTTCTATTATACTTAATCGACTAGGTTTTTTTTCTACTTCAATTGACTGTTCAACATTATCATGATAAGTTTCAGAATCTTCAGAATTGTATCTATTTATATGGAATGGATTCTTATACCTTATAGGAGATATTCCTACAGGATATTCTATATCAGAATCTAAATCTAAATCCAATTTCGCGTTTTGTCTTTCGATTTCTTCGATGAATAATGTAAGATTACTTTTCTGTTTGGTTAATTTCAAAGAAGAATCCTGAATAGATTTTGACTTGCTGCTTTGAGGAGTATCGATTATCGAATTTTCATGTATATTGTCAATGAATAGTTTTTGAGAATTTGATTCAGAATCTGAATTAATGTCCATAACATTTTGTTCTACATTTTTCAGATTGATAGATATATCTTTGTCTAATTGCGAATATTCTACGTTCTGTCTTTTTCCAGTTAATGATGTTTGACTACAGATATCAACATCTTTATCTTGTTTAATTAAACTCAGTAATATATTAATATTAGAATCTTCATGATTATTAAAATGTACTATGGATTTATGTTTCATATCAGGTGTATCGTCAAACATATCAGGCGATGCATTAGAAATTTCCGAATTCACTGGTGTATTACTTCTGGAGTTTATTTTCTCTGATATTCTTGTCAAAGTAGATTTTTTATCTTGCAGAACACAGCAGTCCTTTACAGATATGTCATTATCTTCAAGGGAATATAAATTATCATTAATATTCTCGTGTAATAATATTCTTTGAGAACAATGAATGGTTTCTGAGTCATCACACGTACGATTTAGTGATGGATTAAAAGATTTGTTTATTTTTGAAACATTTAAAGTCTTTTCCATATCTGCGTGTACATTTTCTGTACTTTTTCTGCAAATTTCATGTTTGATTTCTGTTATGTTAGATTTAAATTCTTTTTGACGTAAGTAAACAAATAAATCATTTACTTTGTATTTCCTTGCTAAAAATCTAATATCAGATAATGATGCATTAGAATTGAATATTTTTGAATGTTCATTGATTATTCCACAATAGACAAATTCTAGAAAGGCTAAGGCAACATCATAGTCTACATCAAACCAACAAATTTTTTCTTTTGCAGTAGAGAATTCCGTATCATTGGAAATTACATCAAGCAAAATATTTGTACAACGCGCATAGAAAACTAATTTATGTGCCCAAATATGTCTGGCATTTTTTACAAATATAATAATATCGCTTGCAGAACTATCATTTAGCATATTTCTCCAGTTTGTTGCAAGAATGTCAAGAAATGTCTTTTCTTTGCAACATGTGTTAACTGCATTTGAAGAGATAAATTCTTCATTATTATCCATTACTTTTATAGCCTTCATTGCTTCTGTTTCTAATATTTGTTTGTTATTCGAAATAATTTTATTATCTATGTTTTGTTTCATAAGTTGTTCAATATTCTGTTCCTCCTATAAAATATATTATTATATATTTCACATATATATACATATTATATAATATTTTTTAAGTGTATATAATTTACTGGAAAGTCAATTAAAACTTACATTTAATTTTTCTTTCTTTTCTAATGGTGTAATGTAAGGCGATAGTTGCTTTACATAAAATACTTTCTGAGTTGGAGTTAATTTTGTCCTGTCCCACAATGTATTTTCCTTGCAAATAGACATAAATATTAAAGTTTACAGATACATTCAATTTGGATAATTTTCAATTACATCATGATTAAAATATAATTACAGTTTGATGCAATTGCTGAAGTAACTGATTTTTTAGAACAATTTTCTTTTTAACGTTGTTAACTTGTTCTTCTTGTGATTTTTGAGTAAAATCTTTATAGGCCATAAGTATTTCAGCTATTCTTTCTGTTAAAATACGTTCTTTTTCAACAGCAGTACGTCTTTGTAAAATAGTCGGTTCGATTTTTCCTTCTTAAAAAATAAAAAAATTGAAAATTAAAATGTATATAAATTTGTGTTAGTTATCAGTAATTATTGATTCCCTATCAATTATATAAATTAATTGAAAAGTACTTTTTTTAATTCTATTTGTAGGCCAATTTTTTGTTGGTGATATATTTTTACTGCTAGTAAAGCCAAAATTTTGTAATGTCGCTTTCTGAGGATATTCTACATTATTATCTGGCAACGATGAATTAGATGATATAGCTACAATTTGAGCCTCTTCCCATTCTTCTATTTCTTCTTTTTCATATAAAGACTTGGAAAGCGCTAAAGCAAGCTGAAAATCGGGATCATCGTGCGATTCCTGAAACAATTTGTACTTATAAAAATTGTATTTAAAACAATTTATTACTTACAATTTATTTGAAAACTTTTATATCATTATTGCTTTAATAATTTGAAAACACCACAAAGACTATCAACTATAATACTACATAATATTAAATAATGTTAAATTTTCAAATAGAATGTGAAAAAACACTTATTTGTTAGCATTCAAAAAATTAAATATCTACCATTTTCCGTGAAACAGGCTTTTTTTTATCTTGTAATATGGGAGCAGAGAGTAAACCTAATGATTTTCTTTCTGCAGCTTGTCGTTCTTGCAGTTCCATAGCATTCATCAATGTTTTTGTTGAAACATTATTTTTTATTGCACAACTCTTCATATGTACGGTTTGTAAATTTTCATCTTTAAAATTTTTAAAGCACAATGGACATACATAAGCTGTTTTCACATTAATCGAATTCTGTGGTGAGTCTACGTCTTTCTTTTCAGACTTAAAAAAGGATGACTCAATTGATGGTTGTTGTGCATTATGTTGAATTTTTTTGTTCTGCAATAATTTATTGCTTTCGAATTTTTTCCCATTGTTAATTACTTTAGATTTAGAGCACAGCACGTTCTTTTTAGATTTATCTAGAGATTTATTGCTCTTGATAATTTTTGCTTGCACAGTATTTTTTCTTTTTGGTGATTTAAAATCCAATATACTGTCATCGTCATATGAAGATTTAGATGTGCTTGCAATATTATTTTTCTTTTCAGTATCAGAATCATTAGAAAGAGAAGCTTTATTATCTATACTGTAAATAGAAGAATATCTTATGTGATTTGAAAAATATTGTGCATCATATATTATTAATATAAAAAAATACTTATTTACAGGATAAAAATGAGGAAGAGTATAATGAAAAGATTGTGGAACATTTTTTTATAAATTTCAAATATTGTGTATATTTTTTATCATTATATTTTTTTTAAAGGATACATGTCAACAAATCAACTACAAAAGCTATGCAAGAAAGGCAATTTAATTTATTTGACATTGTGGTACTACCTTTCTTTATAACTTTTCTTTAATCGTAATCTTCTGTTTGACCTATTAGGCTTATGCAATCTATTTTCTTCAACATCCATTATTTCTATGTAAGCTTAATTGGATGTAACGTTACTTAATTCTTATTTGCCTCAGTATCTTTTATTTGATCCTCTGGTTCAGTATTTGCTGCTAATCTAACTTGCTGTCTCTTGTTTAGTTTATCAATAACGCCTCTCAAAAAATCACTTGTCATATAATCATGTTGCATAGCAATAGCGTCTTCAGAAATTTTATATCGTTCGTCATTTAAGTATGGAACAACTCTATAATTGTAGAATAAAATTTAATTAAATTTGGATTATAAAATAAAACATAAAATATGAACTTTAAATTGTCTAATTGTGTAAATAAAGTATAATTAAAATTATACAATGTAAATTAACATTTGACTAAATTGTAAATATAAATGCTAATAAATAAAGATATATACACATAAATAAAGATATATACACACGTACACGTGTGTGTACACATATGTGTATGTGTATGTATATATACATATATATACATACATGTATACATTTAAAATAAAATAAAATTTAATAATTTAATATTAAAATAATATTAAAATAAAATTTAATAAAATAAAATAAAATAAAATGAAATTTAAAATAAAATAAATACTTACTTTCTTCTATAGTAAATGTACATTGCACCAACATACATAAGCGTTATAACGGCCGATGTGATTCGGATATATTTTTGCAGCGGTGTGTTTCTCAATCGACGTAGTTTTCTGAATGTCTCATCTGTGGGATCACGCATTTCATACAAAAAACGAAAGAAAATAATGCTATAAGGCGTATTACAAGCGACTATAATTTTATAGTAATCTTGATCTAACCTCGATCTAAGCTATATTCCAATATTCACTGCCAGTGCCAGTACTGAAAATCTAGTATACGTGATGTAGACTGCGGTCAAGGAGATGCTGAAAATGCTTTGAAGCGTTCGATTGACCAATCAGGTTAAAGAAATTTTTCTCCTTTTATCCTGATTGGTCAATCAAACGCTTCAAAGCATATCATTAGTTCCAATCTACAATAGGTGATTTAAACCCTAAGAAATTGATCAATCACAGTCGAGTATTCTCTTCATGCTTGCCTGTGATTGGTCAATCTCTTATGGCTTAAATTACTATTGTAGTCGGGACTTAAAGCAGAAACCAATGGCCGCATTCAGCGGACTCAACAGTAAGTAATTATAAATCTATTCTTTCTTCTTACACATATCATATGTATATATATATAGAATGTACTCCACTTATCTCGTTTGCAAGCATTATCTGTCTTTGTATCATCGGATTATGATAAACAAATAATACAAACAGATGCAAGGATTAAATATTGCAGAAAATTACTGTTGTGCATAACTAATTACGCACAATGTCCTGTCAAATTAAAGGAATAGCAAATATACCAGATATAGATAATGTTAAGAAATTACTTTATGGCAATGCCATTAGCAAATGTAAGTTTTATTTGATCTAACCAAATTGATAGAATCATGTGATGTGTGTATATTTTAATATATTCTTAAATTTTAGTCGAATATGTACCAAGCAATGAATTACCTCTTCAAGACTGTCATATATCATTGTCATCGGTTGGAGATGTATTTGTGATGGCTTGGAATACAAAAATGATTATATTCATTTGTAAGTATAAATTTTATGTTTCATATTATTTATATCATATTTTATGTCTCATGTAATGATATGTGTTTATCATATGTGCAATCTTTATTAATGACATACATGTATAATATAATTATAAGATTAACAATGCATTGAAAATGAAAAATAAACTTATATATGAAAATAATTTATTGATGAAAAATAATTTATATACGTATATATTTTTTTATAAACAAGATATTAAATACTCCTTAATCTGTTTATAGCAAAATGGGATTCGCAAGAATTAGATGAAATAAAAAATAAATTTCATATAACATGGCATGGAGAAATAACAAAGGAACAGAAGTGAGTAATATTTTTAAATCACACTGTAAAAATATTATTTCATTTATAACAGAGACATTTTTTTCAGTGAATGGATAACATCAGTGATCTGCTTACCTCTAATATCTTTAGGAAAAGCTAGTGGTCCAGATTGGACATGTATAGCTGTTGGATATAATACAGGCTTTGTTAGATTCTACACAGAAGTAAGAGCTTAATTTTTATTATTCTTTTATCATTAATTTTTTATACCAATTTCTTTTATATTAGACAGGTGCATTGCTCTTTGAGGAACAGATTCACAATGAATCAGTCTTAGGAATAAAATGTCAATCATTCTCGTTACCAAGACATGTTGGAGATACTGGCTGCAGCGAAGAAATTTATATATCATATAATAGTGGTGTCTGTATATTACAAGGATTTCCATTATTTTCAACTTTACGTGCATGTAGAAATCATTTAGCTAGAGGTATATATTTTCTTTGTTACATTTATTTAAATTTTAATTTAATCTTAATTTAATATTTTTTTTTACAGTGCAAGCTAATTGCAATGATTTACCCCCAGTTCCAAACTTGTCATGTAAAAAATGGGCGTTTAAAAATCAAGATATTGCAAATGATTCAGAAGTAATTGGCATAACATCAATAAATAGTTTTGATCATTTAATGACAGCTTCAATTTGCGGCGGATATAATGCAATGTATAGATCTAGTGCTCCACAACACAATTTAGTCGTTGCAACAGGAAAACGACCATTTATAGGATTTCATTATGCATTGGAAGGTGGTAATGCACCAGTTCTATCGGATGTTGCCATTGCTATGGCTAGCAAATTGGCTAATGCTATTGGTACTGCTGTTCCGTAAGTACAACTATGTATATATTATATAATATTTTCAAATAAACTAATACTTCTACATTACTGAACTAATACATTAATACATTAATTTCGTTTTAGATGGTTTCGTGGCAGTTCGAAGAATACAACATCTGATGCATCAAAAGGTAACATTCAGGAATCTGTAGAGACAATGAGCTGTCGGTTTGGTTTAAGTGATATTATGAGAGAAGGTGATTGCATTGTCTGCAGTCCAAATAAAATGTTATCAGTAATATCGGATGCTATGGGCAGAGTGTTACTTATAAATAACAAGAGAGGCGTAGCTGTTAGATTGTGGAAAGGATATCGCGATGCTCAGTGTGGTTGGATTGAAGCTACTGAAGAGAAAGATCGTGGAATTCACAGAAATATCAATAAATCTGGACGAAAAATCTTATTGCGCACCGCATTATTTTTAGTCATTTATGCGCCAAAGAAGGGTGTGATAGATATTTGGAGTATACAGCAGGGTCCAAAGATTACTACCTTTACTGCTAGTAAAAATGGACGGTAAGTTATAATCGTATCATTCTTTTTGTGCTTCCATTTTTTACTATAGTCTTTATCTTTTTTGTATTTTACTTATTGAATACAAGATTATTAATCTAATATATTTTTTCTTATAGACTACTATATATTAATTATGGTTTTCTGGGTGCAAACGATAACGCTACCTTGTCAAAGAATAAAGCACAATACTCGTGTGTGTTTATGGATCCACTTGGAGGATTAAAAGAGATTTGTGTTCCATTTCATTTTGCACTTAATAGTAAAAATGGAAAACGTGCACGCGATATACATCTACTTAGAAAACTGAGAACATACTTAAGGGAAGAAGAATTTAATGAAGAAAAATTAGTTGCTGAAGTTACTACCACCTGCCTGGGATTAAAGACGAATGAAATTAAAGTACAGACAATAGAAGTCTTAATGAATAGCAAACATATTTTGCCAGATGCTTTGCTTGCTGCAATAAATTGTTTTGTGATAAAAGGTATGTGTGTAGATGTAATGCATATGTGTGCATATATGATGTAATATTCTAATATTCCATACTAATAGGTAATATTGTATATGATATTATTTTGATGTTTTGTTAATGTTACAGAAGAAAAAAAAGAAGAAGAATTAGAACCTACTGCTAAAATGCTTCATCAATTGACAATGCAATTACGGCAAATAATTACATTTTATAAATATGTTAAGGCTCAACTTGACATTCCCCCTGAATATAATATTGTTACAGCTGATAATGCACCGAGTTCGAAACATTTATCTTCGATATTATTGACTTCGGAACGAGAAGTACATCGTATTATTAAATTAGCCAAGATGATAAATAGTTTTAAGGATACTAATGTTTCAGCAGAAACTAAAGTTAAATTTAAAGAGGACGAAAAAATATTTTTCAATTTTTTATCGTGCTTTGAATTCGGCTCGTCAAAATCCATTGGACTACGAAAAGACCTAAAAGAGGAAAAAATAAACGACATTTGTAAGTTGTATATTTTATAATGACTATAACTATACTGTTATTGCATTAAATATGATACAATTTTTAGCGCGATTAATATATCAAGGATGGATGTATTCAAATGATGTAAAAGAGAAATGGCAACAAGCTGCTAAAGATAGTAACATTCAACCATTTAATTTCATGGAACTGGCATTAATATATTGGACACATAAAGAAGAAATTATATCTTTAGAAATCGAAATGAAACGTTTTACGCAACTTTTGCATGTTATTTGTTTGTTAACTGGTAGGTTTTGACTAAGAAATGCTATATAATATTTGACATATATATAATTTAATTAACTTAAATTTTATAGATGTGGAAAATATATGTGTTGAATATAACGAAGTTTCTCTTTGGTGGAAAAACGTACGGACTATTTTAACAGAATCTACAAAACCTTTTAACGCACTTACTGCTGCATTAGCATGCAGAGCAATTGCTATGATTCTGGAGAAGTATAAAGAGAAATTGCAGAATCAAAAATTGTTGGAGACTAATGGCAACGAAGGTGAAGACAATAAAAATATGAATAACATAACTAATATAGATGAAACAGAAAAACCGAGTGACATCACACCAGATGATGAAACATATAGTTCAATTAGTGAATGGGAAAATGTTAGCAATGACACCTGTCAATTTACATTATTAATTGGAAATCTTGAAGATATTACTATTTTAAATGCTGTTATTAGGTATATATTCCAATAATCAAATTATATAAATATAATTTCTCTGTAATAATAAACATTATTTTAATTTTAGTCAACAAGTTATACCGGACGAAACAACACAATTCTTCACTTTACCTTTTACAAAAAATGATATTTCTCTAGCATCGATTCTTGCCAAAGGAAAAGGTAAATTATTTAAACTTGTCATTTTTATCAGTGTATATTCTTAGTCGTATTTATTTAATAGTATTGTACTCTCACTTTTTATAATTCTTTTTCTACTCTTTATTTATTTGTATCAGGTTCTGTCTCTGAACTGGTTGCAAAATGGCTCAGTACAACAGGTATCGATCCAACACGATTAATCGACACAACTGATGTGGAATTCGATCAGTTGCAATTATCAATAGATTCTTTACAATTGACTGATGCACTGGACGAAGCAACTGCCATTGAAGTATCTCAACAGGAACAATCAAAACTTCTTTCATTATCGGTAGAAATTGGAGATGAAGCAAAAACTAATATGACAACAGAAGCATATATATTAGGCAAGAAATCCACTTGAGAGAAATCACTACTTTTGTTTTTGTATAATTTTAATCTGTTCTTTTTTTCTAGATAAAATGATTCTACTTAAACGCCATTTTCCATACAGTTTAACAAGTAGTGTTTTATTGGCCAATTTATGCTGGGAGTTTGCTATGTCGTGGAATAAAGATGTTACTCAATTAGATTTGCTTGCAGCTGCCTTAACTGTTTTACGACAAATACCTATGAAAAATATGAAACATGGTAGGCTGCATTGTTTTTTTAAAGATATATATTTATATAGATGTAAAATATTTTTAAGATTTATATAGATGTGTTATATATATTTGTTTAATAGGCGTTTGTTGTCTACTGTGGACACTTCATATAAAAAAAAGATTGGAAGCGGCGGCGAAACTGATGAATAAGCTCGGGAAATTGCCAAAGGAAAGATTATGCATGCAAGATATTGGTTTGTCTGACATTCAACTGACAACATTTTTACAGCACTGTGTCACTTTCTTGGATATATTTGTTGATGTTAGTATATAGAAAATGTAGAGAGAATTATGTAAAAATTGTTAAATGAAAAATGCAGCTAAAAATCGAAAATTATTAAGTGGATTTTAATATATGAAATGTTTCAAGAACATCGGATGTTCTTTTAATAGTTTAGTGATCAATTTGAGATAATTTATTTCTAAGCGAAAATGTCGAGGCATTTGAATTATAAATGATTGAAAAAAAATTTTTTCATGAACTAAACTTTTCATGAAGTCAAAAGATGAACCAAATTATATTGTTTTCAATATTAAATGTAAAATTTATTTTTGTATTGAAGGATATTCAATAATTTTTTTTAAATATTTCATAGAATAATATAAAGAAATATTAATTTATACTATATGCAGGATGAAATACTTCAACGAGGAGATGGTACAACAATAAAGTCGGAAGAATTGTGGGACGGACATCCTGGTGGACCACAACCTTTTGCTACACTAGCTATTTCTCAAATGCCAGCTTGGTATGATTTGGTCTTATTACACGTACAAGTGGCAAATGTTCTGTATATGATGGCGTGTCTCAATTTGAAAATGTTAAAACCACTGAATAATTTGTTCGAGTCTGTAGTAAGTAAAGCATGCGATTTAGTGCGCGAGTATACAAATACATATACATATATGAACATATATGATACATATTTGTTCGCTATATTTGTGTAGGTACAGCCCTATTTCTTTCAAGACATAACGGATAAAGCGATGCTGACGTGGTACCGAGACGACAAAAGAGATAATACGCGTACAGAATTTTTATGTAGAGTAATTACAGCGTCAATGGAATTTATTCATCGCGAAACCACCGACGGCGTGACGATTAGTTCATCACAGGCTATTTCGTGGATGAACAAATGTCAGGCATTGGCGTCAATCTGGAAAATTAATAATGATGAATTAAGAATACATCAAACCTGTCAATTATATATAAACGGTTTTGATCGTTTAGCAGAAGAGGTACGTGTATATAACAAATCTTTTTTTTTATTTGTACATATATATATATATATATATATATATATATATATATATACTCATGACATATATTTAGGTAAATGTAGCAGTAACCGATATCGAACGTTTGGCTGCAAACTTATTACCTATAGCTGGAAGAAGAATGATGGCATATCTCTCGAAAACACCTAATCTCTTGGAAGAAATGTCACAAATGAGTCCAGCGCTTACGAGATATTTGGAAAATCTGGTAAGTTGATGCACAAATCTGTTGATATGTTTTTATCGAATATTTTTAGTTTTTTTGACCGTATAATTTTCCGCAGAACGTGCCTGAAATAGTCTGTACGAATTGTTCGAATGTCGACACTGTGGAACTGATTCGACGAATATCTGTGCATTTACCTAAAACTCACTGTGATTATCATATTGCGCAATTGATGTTGGATGCAACATTTATTTATGAGGGTAATAATTAGTTTCTGATTTTTTTGTAAACTATGTCCTGTGATATTACGAAGCATGAAACCGCCATACACGAGATTTTATCAGAAACTGTATAATTTGTACATACTGAATACAACGAAACGCGATAATAATTGAAATCATTGTCAATCTATCAATGAAAAGACAAGATACGCCTTTGTTGTAATAATAATAAAAAGAGTGATAATCAGTTATAAAAATAAATGATGTAAACTGTGTTATTTTCTTTTTGGGACATTCGGACATTTTTATTAAGCGAAAATATGAACAATCTTGATATGATGTTCATTATCTCTGAAGCGCACTTTATATTAATGTGTATATTTGTACATAATATTTCTCTTGTTATAATGCTGTTTTATCACAGGACATTAATTGTTCTTGTTCTGAAGATGCATATATATATAATAATTTATCTGGGAAGGAAGGAAGATTAGAATATATTTATCAATTTTTTAAAAATTTGAAAATTATTGAGTTTAAATATTTTAATTATTCTATTATTCTATTATATATCTATAATCAAATATAATATTTCTTTTGAACATATATTTTTTAAGAATAATTATCTCTAAAAATTTTTTCTTAAAGGGTCTGTAATATTTAATGTATAACATATACATATATAAGGAATACATTAAATATTACATATTTTTCACCATTGTATCATATATAAACTAATAATTTATTAAAATAATATATTTGAAGAATGCTTAATGAAATCGTCGTACAATTGTTCTCAATGTCAGTGGGATTTTAAGTATATTCTGTTTACCACGTGCAATTCAATTGCTTGCATTCAAGTACACTCTTTAAGTATTAAACAGATTTACATCGATTATGTGTTATATTCTTAAAAACGAATTACGAAACCTTGATATTGTTGCTTTGTGATGGTTTCCCAATTTGTAAATTCGCAATGATGTATTTCGCTACCCGGACTACCCACTGATGTTAACCACTGTGCCCTGAAAATTGAATATTTATTTAATATTATATTGCGTTAGGAGAACGATTATAAACGCTGTTTTGCTGAACTGATATATAAAGTGCAATGGATATCATGTGATACTTCTGCATATATTTGAACGCTACGTCATTTACATAAAATATAGTTTTTCTACAGATACATATTGGTTAAAAACCGCGAACGGTGCTCGATTTCAAGTTTAAGAAGGTCATATATTTGTCGTGTTGCCAATTGCATCGTTGACATCGTTACCAAACAACGAACATCCATCAAGAGTGAGTGCGTGCGTTTTGTCTATATATATGAATGCATTTGCCACACACGGTGTTTTCTTCACACGCTCCGAAATTATAATTAGCGACTCTAATCAGACCGAGTTCAGATATTTTTATATTACGTTAATATCGAGATGAAGTCTTTGTGTAATCGGTTGAAATGGCACATGATTAATTAATGATATATATCTCTCTTTCTTTCACGATCGCGATCGAAGAAATGGTTCAGTAGGTCTGGCTCGCATCTCTAAATAACAAGTATTTTATATATCTCTTTTTAACGACTCTTTTGCCAAGGGCAAATTCTATTTTGCCCTCCTATTAAAGCATATGTACTTGTTCACGCGAATTGAGATTCAGCGCGATTAACGTCTATTTCAAGATTTTTCACAAGACTTGAAATTATTCTTTGTGTAAGATGGTCCATGTTCAGGCGTCTTTGAACGACAACGATGCTTCGACGCGGTGACGTAGTGACGTAGCGATGAAGGAAACAGGTGATGCGCCGTCATTATTTCATTAAATCGTTATTAAAGTCAGTTTTCGACATACCGCTCGTTACGCTGCAATTGTTAGTCAAGGACGGTCGAGGAACCGCAGATATACACATCGTTTATCTCGCGTTTATATGTTCCAACTAATAATTTTAAAACTGTTAGAGAGAGTTTATTTATGGATGCAATTTTTAAGACTCACATCTGATCGACGAGCGCCCGAAGTCCTTGCATCTTCCCAAGGATCGTGCCAGTTTTACTGTTTTTCACCCAACCGCAAATTCCCAATTGCATACATATATCTCTCACGTACTTCGGAAAATATACACCTGCAAGGATCATTAAAGACTTTAAGATTCTCTACAAGATGCGAGATAAAGAGATGCCAAATGCTTATATAAACAAATGCATATAATTACGTGTTTACGCTTCTATATACTTATATTAGACTAAAATACTAAAACGGAGATGCACTTATTAAAGTGCAAGTGCCAAGAGTATATTTTATCGAACGCGAATATGTAAAATGCCTTATAACAAGAACAAGTAAAAATCAAATAGATTCATTAATATTTAATAGATTAATGAACTTTAACGATACAGGACAATGCTTGGAAATGAAAAAAAATTAATACGCGACGAGCGAAATAAATGATTCGCATAAATAATTGTACAGAATCGTGTTTACTATTTGTCTTTTACACGAAACATTATAGAAGATGAAGAGATACGATTGTAGATGAATAGCTGAGATTTAAACTTAGCGTAACAAGTGAAAAAATCCTGATTCGAGTGAACATTCCATACTCACCCTGCACTTTTCCAAAAACCTCGAATTCGACGGATACCAATGGTTCCCGGCAAAGGGGATCATCCGCCGCCATCCTGTTCAAGCTTTAACAAAATCTTGTGTTCGTCTGCAATTTTGTGTCTCGAGTGATGGGATTTTCAAAGATTAAACTTGAATGCACAGTAAAGATACGAAATATTCCGAGACTGCAGCCTCGTCGATCAGACACTCGTTCTCTCTCTATCTCCTGTTATAATGATGTTTCACCTTTCGCCACGACTCACCTCACTGACTGATTCTTGTTGCACGATGTTCGCGTCGCCGTGTTTCCTCAAATAGATCACCCCACCATGTTGACATTGATTGGATCACGATCGATTGAGAGTTGATCAACAGTTTATGATCCTTTTGAAGATCCAGTTATATTATTCGAGTGCGAGACCAAGGGATTTCTCCCTATCTTGATTTAAATACGCAATTTCAATTAGAAATATTACAAAAATATCCTTTTAAGAGTATTTTTACTATTTTTGTATTGATAAAATTAATTTATAAAACTAGTATTGATAAAATTGAAAATGCATACTCTATTATGAGAAACTTGTTTTACAAGAGCATAAGTGGAATTGTTGCAACGAAACGAAAAAAGAATCGATAACCGATGATTTCGAGATACATGAATAAAAGAATAATTCCTTTTGCCTCGTCAACGCGCACAAGGGAGTTGTTCATTGTGGAAACATTAAATGTAGGCCAGGGGAGCAAGCATTTATCGTCGAACTAAGCACTTCCTATCCATCATAGTTGTCGTCTATTGTCCCGTCATTATCTCGGCTAATTAGTTATTACAGTACGCTATGACATAGTAATTGCCCGAAAGCACAAGAGCAAAAAGTACGGGGTGTACACAGGATACGGGAGAGAGGGTTCTACTTATAATGATCCTGTTCAATCTATTATGTCAGCGTTCAAGGTCCCGTTCGATGTTAAGCTCAATAATCTGTATGCGTACAAGTTTGAATAATTATCGAGCAGAGAGATCGCGTTTATTTTTTTATTTTTAGATTAACCCATTCAGACCTGAATTTTTTCTGGTAATGTAAAAAATTATTGAATTAATTTTATTGATGCTAAGGGTTTTTTTTATGATTTATAACTGTTAGGAATTAATTTCCAAGTCCACCGAGAGATTGCAGGGAAACTAATTCTAAAAAATAATACTATTTTACATGATTTTAAAGTTTTGTGTATAATTGTGTACATAGGGTCTGAATGGGTTAAATAAAAATTCGAATGATGAATTCATAAAACAAGATAGTAACGTTTTATAGCATTATAGCAAAAATCGTGAAGATAAAATGGCAAGCTACGTTTTTCTGCGTAATGTTAAATTACAAGCAATTTTCAAATTCAAATCATGATTAACATTTCAGTCCACGTAGCGCTAGATGACCGTTACAATTAGATTAGAAGAAGTGAGCAAATATATGTGGTTGACACGTATGAACATTAACATTAATGCTCGATTTATTCGATAAGTATATGAATCGATTTCTTTATGCACAACATTTTTAAATAAATATATAAATAGGCTTTCCTTTTAAAATATATATATTGCACATTAGTTTTTCCTCAGGTATAATTAATTATACGAATGACCTTTGAAGACAAAATACACGGCAGCGTTAATTCCTACTTTTAAGATTCTAATTTTCGTCGTCTAATATAGCATGACACATTTGCATATCATATATTACTATATTACATTGCAAAAATTGCTCTTGATAATGATCATACGGAGTCTTACTGCAAATGCATCGTTCTTGACAGTCCTTCTGGCCGTTTTTTTCTGTTGCGCGAATCACTAGTCAAGACATCTTCTTTATAACTCACTCTTTACACACATCCTGATTCTCCGGCTCTGCTTAGGATCACGATTTAAGGAATAATCGCGCTTCCTTTCGAGAGAACGTTTCGAGAATGGACACACAAAATGAGGATGACAGTTCAATCTGGAAAGAAACACTGTCTCGCATAAACATTCGCAAATGCGAGTTTTCTTCGCACGATTGAACTCGTACGTGTCATATCATCCTCCCCCGCTCGAATTATCGCGTCTATGATAAATCAGCGTGTCATCTCGTATCATCTATCCTAGAGAGTCCGCATTCGCGGGTTTAATCGTATTATTCGGCAGGAGAGTTCCATTCTCGCTGTCCTTTTCGTTTACATTGGTACGACCATCGAAATGTTGAGAAGCCAGTAGATTCTGCTGTCTCGCTTGCTTCTTTTCGCGTTCGATCTGACGTTCAAGATAAATGATAAGCGTTAGAAAGATTATTGATTTAATCGTTTCGATATTTGTCATTCTATATTTATCTGTCATTTTATCTCTGTCGAGAAAGTATTGTATTGTATACAAACCTTAAAGAATAATCGAAGATAATGACACGGAAACACGACGCACTTCCCTGCCTCTTCCTCGGCATCGATGTAAACGCCACGTACAAGAATGGTATTGCTACAATTAAGGAGGACGAGAAAGACGAAACTGCCGATGTGGGTGATCCAGCAGGATAATTCCGGATTATCCGGCAACAGCCACAGATCGAGCGCATTCCATATACCACGCCAGACGTTCACGGTCCCCAGGAAGCTCAGAAGGAGAAAAGCATCCGCGACTATTAAGAGAACCAGACCCTGAAGACGCGCGCAGACGTATCGCATCAACGGTTGCAAACAAAACGTCACGGCGACTAAAAAATAGCCGATAGCCTGTAATACATTTCTTGTATTATATTTCTCAGTCTTTTTGTTCATCAATAAAAAGTTAGAAAACGGTTTAAGGACCTTTAATAAAATCTTGAATAAAATACAATAATTAGAGCGAAGTTTTAAAAACTTTTGATAACTATCACAAATTAAATAAAAATTAGACGTTTTAATCCTGTAGTTTTATGTTTATCATTGTAATTTACTAAAGAGAGTCCAATTTGGACTCTCTTTAGTATTATAAATTACTAATGATAAAAATAAAACTACAGTAATTAAAAAACATGACATTCCATTACGATAAATTACATAAGATAAAATATAAAACACAAAAGCATTGTACAGATCAAATTATAAAATTGTAAAAAAATGAAATCGGAACAACAAAATGGCGAATTTGACTAACATTTTAAAAACCGTCTTTATGTTTTTAAAGAGTCTTATATTTTGAAATTTTTATCCTCTTTAAATATATTAAATATGTGTTCTAAAAATTAAAAAATGAAAGGTTTATTTTTTTGCTAAAAAAGATAATTCAGTGATCTCCTTAAAGATTCATTCATTGAAGAAATTTCGTTTCTGTTGCATATAAAATTAAAACACGATTTTTATTCGAAAATCGTATAAATCATGTCACATCGACGACATTACAAATGACGAATCAGGGATAACGTAAAACATTTCATATGCATATACCGACAATTGTGCCATGTGCCTCGGCAATCATACAATTGGCGAATATTCAATTATATAATCGAACTACCGGCGTGTAGTGTCATGGCACTACGCACGTACGTCTCGTATGTCTGCAAAATTTACAGTTTCTCGTTGCGTTATTGCAATCGTCGAATAAGTGCGAGTTCACGCACGTATAATCATTTTCGCGAACGGACATGCTATATATTTAAGAAAATAACATTATTTATTAATCGTTTCGAGGACCGGCAATCGCGATTCACATATCAATTAAATCGGCGCTTAAAGAATGATCAATTTTACTCAAAGTACTAGACATACGTGATATCATCCAATTTATTTTATCTGAATTTTTATATTTTTTTATCGCATGATAATATATTTTAATATTGACTGATTGGATTTCAGGTTTAACGGTTTAACAGCGTTTACGGATTAATCTGCGTATCTGAGAGATATCAGATAATGCATCCAAAATTTTCTGTTTATGAATCTCGAACCGATGCTTTAATTGTTCAATTATGACAGTACATTTTCTTTAAGAATTGATTCTTGTTAGCATGAAATGAGTTTGTTAAATATAGGGATATAATTATGATTTGCATTTTCTGCCAATTATTATAATTTTATGCTAATATATCGTTTCTCTATTTTTTCTATTTTTAATATTATTACTGCTACTTTTTTTTTGTTATATTCATATCGCGTTAATCGTTAATCATGCAGCATTTTCCGATATTTTTATAATTTTCTTCTTGTGAAGCAATCAGACTTCTATTAAAAATAAATAAATAATATAATGATTAATATATGATGACTCTAATAAAGATAAATAAAACAGAAAGCTTTTAGAAAAATTTCTGATTTATTTTTATTTGAAAAAAAGGAAAAATAATGTACGATATTTGCATATGCAATGTGAAATAAGTTGAAATTATTGATCATTTGAACGTTCGTAAGTTTGTTTTTGCTATCAATTTAAAAAAAATTGTACTTACCAGTGAGCCAACGGCAGAACATTTGGGATTTTCCGGAAATAGATAAATATCGATGAGGATCCAAACCCCTCTCCAAACGAAAACAATCAATGTGCCAACAACACCGACGCTAAAGGCACAATCCAGTAAGTACAATGACCAGTCCCTTGTATTCTGAAACCGCAATATTAACATTTCGCATATAGTAATAAAAAAATATTAAATATAATAATGTGTTAATTAAATATAATAATGTGTTAAAATATGTTAAGCGAGAAATTCCATGATATTTATTATGCGATACATTTTTCAGGCTCTTGTCAGGGAGTATATCCTTCAATCGCCATTATAGCAATTTTTTAAAATAATTTGAGGAAGAAGAGAAAATATATAATAAAATATAGCATAATTGATAATTATAATTTTCGATTAATTTAATTTGATTATTAAGTATTATTTCCCGCCACTTGAAAGATAATAGATATATAAATGAATGCCTATCGTGTGACATCTGATGAGATAAAGATCAACATTAATCATGTATGTCGGTTCTCGAAATTAGCCACATGTTCATCATATTTTGACAGAAATATTATCAGCGCGCTAAAAATGTCTAGCTGTTCATAAATATGTCAAATGCAATAAGCTTTACGGTAAAAGAAAGTACATCAAAATCATATAAAATTAATCTTTAATATAATTAACAATCTGTTATTAAGATATCTTCTAGGGATACTTGAGTAGACATATTTTTTTATAAAAATCCATATTTATATAATCGTAGTTAATTAATATAATTATTTCGATGATTCAAATTGACGGATAAACGTAATTGCTCGGAAAAATTGTCTAGATAAGACAAATATTCTTCGTCCAGATACAGAAGAAGGCGCGATCGCAAACGACAAGATGTGGCGCGTAAATTAGTGCACTTGCACATACTGCGCTAATGCGCACGTAGACTATACAAGCGCAATAGTGGTTGACGATCGGGGGACTTAGCCGGAAACTGTGCTTATACACACCGATAACGCGAGCTTGGACGCGACGAGGCATATGCGAGCCGTCGATCCGATTTATGATTTACGACGCGCTTTATCCCAGTGATTGAACTGACAGTGAACAATCGGGGGACAATAATATATCGAGGGAAAATTATCATGTTTGTGTAATGTAATGCACGAAGAGAGTGGCTACTGAGACTTTTAACTCGTATTCTCCGGATGTTTATTCTTTCGCATTCCTTTTTCTCTATCAAATTTTTGTTAATAGAAAAAAAATTATATATGAGATAATAGACACAAAATTTTTAATATATTGTTTGTATGCATTTTATATGTTGTATGTAATATATTTAAGCTTTTAAGAAGAATTACAAGCATTTATTGTTAAGAAGAATCAACAGACATCATTTAAGTTAGAGTCGCAAAAATCCCTATCATAATTTATCTTATTTTCTTTGCTTTCTTATCATATAGTAAAGAATTCGTCAACTTACGTCCATTAGTACAAAGTTAAAAATAGACTTTAAATTAAACAATAGAATGCATTTTAATTAGCAAAAATAGTCTGTGTGTGTTTCACATACTAGAGAATGATTTATGATTTTGTCTTTTCTAAATTGTTCGTTCTATTTATAGTCATATGTAAAAACAGGCAAATATATATCTATAAAGATAATATATATAAATATACTTACTTATATCTATATTGCTCACGAATATTATTTTTTTATAAAATATATTATTTATTTTTGCAGAAAATAAAAATTTCGAGCTTCTAAAGAGTGCTTTTGAAGTATACTCTTATAATCTGATAAAAGAAAAAGCAAAGAAAGTAATAGATTTGATAACATACTTCTCTTCTTTGGTAACATTAACAATTCTATATAAAAAAACATATATAATATATTTTTATCGTATATTGAATCATATTAAGAACAATATTGGGCAAGGATTTCCAGTAATTTTTACAATGTTGCATTATCAGCACTTTTATTTTGATACGTGAATTTTATCTACTAATGAATTTTGAAGGATTTTTGTCTAGGTTTATAAAAACAGAGATTATTTTCTTCAATAAAAGTAAATTTTTTATATTACTTATTAAAACACATTTATCTGCCAGAAGTTATATCAAAATTATTTTCTTCCTTATTTTCTTCCCTAAAATAAATGCAGCTTCTAGAATCTCTATAACTCTATCCTGAAAAATTTTCTCTTCTTTTAATATCATGTTATCTTATAATTTTCTTTCCTAATTCGATTTTCTTGATATAATAGACATTTATAGTTAGACTACAAGATTGTAATTGTAATCTTACATTAGACTAGAACCCGACTTGCGGCGCACCCCGAGAGAAAAGGAGAAAGACAGGCGGATACTTACATTGACGCGGAACATAGTCTGCACTTCAAAGTAACCCGAACACGAGTCGAGAACGAGCGCAAACGGTGGCGCGGAGAGGTTGCGGATCGCGCGCATGATGCCGAGCGCGAGGAGACTGACGGCGGTCGTGGCGACGATGGTACCGGGGGTCTGCTCCGTGTAGATGTCCAGGGCATTAAAAATGCCACGCCAGGCATTAACGCAACATAGACCGAACACGCTGGTGTAGAGCCGCGAGCCGAGATAATAAGACAGCCGATGCTTGTCCGGATGGAGGATATCGACCAGGCTGTGTTGCAGCACGTTGAAGACGAAGAGACCGGTGAAGCCGATCGCGATCGATGCGAAGGTGCTTAACACCGGCTCGTTCGGGTAAACGTAGAAGTCGCTGAGCTCCCAGGTGCCGCGCCAGTAACCGACCACCGCGGGCGCAATCATGAGAGCGGAGAATATCGTGTCCAGGATCGTCAGGATGGCGTAGTGCAGGCGATTCGAGGATCTCCTGTCCAGGCCCCCGGTCATCCCGGCACTAGCCGCGCGCAACTCGACCATTCTCACCCAATCCGGATCGAATTTAATAGTCGCACCGCTGGTCATTCTGCATGGTTTGCGCTTTCGAAATTATTAACTAATACGTAAGCAAGAAGGAAAAAGAAAATGCGTAATCAGTTAAAAAAATGAGGGACGACGTGTTTGAATACAATGACATTGATGTTTTCTTCCTGACATTCTCCGATGATATCCGATTTTTGGTCTTGCTCTTGATCTTCGATTTATTCGTCAAGACCAGTCTTTTTCATCGTCATCGCAAGACGCTCATGCTCACAAATGACATGCTCTCGATAGGATAAAAATATTTATCTTGTAAACTTTTGCGTTCTTAGCTCATTTCTTCAACGCTCTGCGTAAAACATAAATTTCTTCAACGATACTTGAAAACAAGGTTTCTTCCAACGATGAAAAATACTTCCTCGTGTTTCTCAGATCGAATTATGTAAATCGTACGGTATATTGTACTTCAACAAACGAGGATCTTCATCGAGATGATGCGAAGGCGTTTCGCTATCGGATTCAACCCTCCGTGCGCTCAGGATCGATGAAATCGAATGGATTCGTCGATCAGCAGCAGCGGGGTGAATACTGACTTGTCTTCGGTAGAACTGCTATCTTTTATCAACTGTGCTAGCCGCTAAACGTGCGGACCAACAGACCAACACTATCGCATTATCGCGAGCAGCGTCGTCGCTCGCGCGGCGAACCACCGGCACCGAGTACCCGCGGTACCGCTCTCCTTTGCTCCCTCGTTCTCTCCGATCTTCCCCTCCCCCTCTTATAGATTATAATCGCCTCTCATCGCAGTGCTATCACGGTGCTATCACGGATCAGAATGATCGGTAGCGATGAACGCATTCCCGCTGTTGTAACGCGATTCCAAGACGATTCGGCGACGGAGGATATCCTCGAGGACTCCGAGAGCTTCCACAGCTTGTCACTGTCACATTTAAGGCGTGCAGCTCGAAGAAGAAGGAGTATCATCGTGATGCGGTATTTGAAAGATAAGAAATACATATATTAATTCTTCGTCAAAGTATTTAATACTCTTCCAATGATTGATTCCACAACTTGGAGTAAAGATCGTGAAAGATGGCAGTTCCTTGCTTTTACATTCATATATTTTGTGTATCGCATCGCAGTTAAATTGCAGATTATTCCACGATTGAAGTAGAAAAAAAAATATAAGAATGCATATGTGTGTGTAAATATATATGACAAGTTTTTAGAAAAGGATTCTTGAAGGTAATACTAAATTATCAGATTTTCTGCGGATTATTTAATCTGGAAAAAGAAGATCAATTCACTCATAATGATATAATTTATTAGTCACCCTCCTTGCCGCTATTTTTTTCTGAATAGTGTTTCCTGTCTCGTGCTTATTTAGCCATTGACGTATACTCATTTAACCATTGACGCTTTAGCCAAAGTCGTCGCTAATCGACTCCTTTTTTGTGCTCCAATCAAGCTTGGATTATAACATCTTCTCACCTTCGTTCATTAATTCATCCCGACAAGTCTCGTCAAGGGCATAAAATTCACTGTCATCTCGAATAATTACGAAAGATATGAAATTAAATGCTTCATCCCCTGTGATCGCTCTTCACTCATGATTATTTTTGAATCCACACAGCACATTATACTAAAAGATAACGAAAAGATGTCTTTTTTAAGTTATCTTTTCGACAAAACGAAAAGATATCTATAAAGATATCTTTTCGTTTTGTTGAAAAAGATGACATAAAACAGATATAATAGTATGTGGCAGGTGTTTCTTCGCTTGCCGCTACGCAGCGAGCCACGCTTAACTTATCTCGTATTTAATATTTATCACAAAATGTATAATTAAATAATAATTAAATAAATAATAATTAATAATTAATAATTAATTAAATAATAAATAAAATGTATAAAGAATTAATAATTAATATAAGATTTGAAGCATATTTTTGCCTTTTAGGAGCAGTAATCCAAGAAAGAGGATACTGCTCGCATGCAATCAATTAGGGAGAGCCACATACATGTGCTACGCAGAATGATTGTATGTTTGTGAGCTACATCCTTTTCCTGACATTATTATACTGTTTATCAATTTAATTTCTGACAAATTGAATTTAAAATAATTTATTTAATAATCTAGATTCCTTGTTGGGATTCAGAATATTAAACAGATTATTAGAAATTAGGCAGATAAATGGGAGAAATAGCCCATTTATTGCATGTATGTGAAGTATTCCTACTACCAAGTGTCGATAATCTATATAGAATGAATCAAGTCATTATATGGACAAGACTAAAAAGTCACTGAATTCGGGTCATGAGACGATTTTTAGCCATCTTTCCATCGACTTAACGATGTCAGTAAAAGATGTCTGTGATAAAAAAAATATCCAGTTTTAGTAGTACTTTTAGACGACTTGGTGCTGTGTGGGTATATTAATAATAAAGTTGAACCTACTCTTTTGTTTCGAACGTTATCAGATATAAACAGGAAATATTTGTTTACAAATAATAATGAAAATTATCATATAAACAATTTGTTGCTGTATTTAATATTAATAAGTACACCACATTCGTCATCAGGAAAATTCTGATTGTCAGATGAATATAATCGTAATAATCGCAATAATCGCAATAATCTATATTTCGTACATATATTAACTTGATGTCCGCTATAATAATCGGCAATTCAATAAATATATGATCCAAAATAAATAATGCTTCTTTTACAGATAAGAAATGCTCATCCACGCGCGTACAATCACAGTACATCGTATCTTTATTATCGCTTAACAGTATAATCAGAGATTATTTCGTAAACTTCCGGGGAAAACCGGCACAACCGCGATTTTGTTGATCTTTCTATTTGTTTGTATGGCTATATATAATAAGAGAGGTCACTAATGCAAGATTGAACACTAAATGTAACAGAAAATTGCTTTTATTTTTGCTCGAATAGTAATGACTGCGCTTTTTGCGCGGGCCTATCTACCGAACAACGTGTCATCTATCACATTGACACGCACGAAAGAAGCGTAGATCGTAACTGAAATTACAATATTTAAACAGCGGGACTTATAAATTAATATTTAGTAATCAACATTTTAAATCACATTTACATTAAAGCAATATATCCAAGAAAAGTAGAGAAAATAAATTAATATAACAATGTGGCGTTAACATTATTTTTGAAGTTGCAAAATGTTTATCATACGTATCGTATTTTTTTTCAATTCATTTGTATTTTGTTATAAGATTTTTAATTAATAATTTTTATAATACATTTTGTTTAAACATATGATCCAAATTATACAATATAATTATATAATTAAATTCTATAATGTATAATTTAGATATCAATAATGTATAATTTTTATAATTATGGGAATAGTGATCATAAAAAATTTTTTCTAGTTAACAAATCTATCAAATACACATGTTAGACATACTCGAGATTTATTGCGCTATCATTATCGTATCGTTAATCGTATTTTCACGATATCTAAGACAAGAAAATTGATAACGCTTTGCTAACGATTAAATCTCATAATCAATATCATATTATAAATAATTCGCGATAATATTTGGAAAAAAGATCTGTCTTATGGTCCCCGTAGTAAAACTAGACGAATAATTTCGCAATAATTTTTATTATACATTATGTGAAACGATTTCCTTACTTTAAAGAGATTCATAGAGATGCAAATCGCATAATCCTCGATAATATAATTGAGAAAATGCGATTGTATGTGCAAAAAATAAATCTTACGTGCAATATGTAGTTCCATTTATAAGCTTTTAAATTAGGCATGTGTATTGTATAATCGTGTTAAACGCCATTTGGCAATTGAGCACAGGGTCAGCGGCTCTTCAAACAGTAATCAAAGAACGACTATTACAAAGTGCATACGATTGTCAAAGGCGATGTAAGGGAGATTGCTACAACACAATTATATGAGAGAATATGGACACAAAGTCACTGCACCCTTATATCGCTGTGCAGAAGATTTTGCTTGTCGCAAAGCTTGCATATCATTATAATAGTTTTATGATCGTCAATGAAAAAGCATAGCTAATGAAATTTCTTATATAAAATTTATATATATATACAGGGTGTTTCAGATCACCCGTATCACCCATTTAAAACTAGAGAAGTGGTTATTTCAAAAAAGTAAAAACATTTTCTTTATAAATCGGGTACGCTCTATCGAATGGTGATATTTTCAACTTCCGGTTCCGACCGGAAATAGGCGATTCAAACCTGAAGTGCATTTTTTTAAATGGAACCCCCTATTTTTCATTGCATATTCTTGTAGCTTACCTCGAGAGCTTCCCAAAACACTATAATAAATTATTTTTCCATGAAGTACTTTTCGTAGTCTGAATCGCCTATTTTCGGCCGGAACCAGAAGTTGAAAATATCACCATTCGATAGAGCGCACCTGATTTATAAAGAAAATATTTTTATTTTTTTGAAATAATCATTTCTCTAGTTTTTAAATGGGTGATACAAGTGGTCTGAAACACCCTGTGTGTGTGTGTGTGTGTGTGTGTGTGTGTGTGTGTGTGTGTGTGTGTGTGTGTGTGTATATATATATATATATATATATATATATACATATATGATTAATATTCTATTTATGTATTAATCTATCATTGCATATTATAGTATGAGATACGGACTCAAACAATCTTTGTATGTGCTTGCATATAAAAATTTTTAAATTAATAATTTAAACAACTACGTTCATTTTTTTATCTGCTCGTGTATAAACTCTTTTATAATTATATACAATATTGCCATACATAATCATATACCATTTTGTAATTTATACGAATTTATTATATGAATGTTTTATCATGAAACATCGCTAGTACAAAGATATTTTTTTTTCTTAGACAAAATTAAGACAAAATAAGACAAAAATAAGACAAAATTTTCAAATAGACAAAAAAACTGAACATGTTGAATTTTTAACTCACCACTTTATATCTCGTAGGAAATCGAAAAACGTAATTCGGTATATCGATGAAGATTATCATTGGGGTTGCTATTAAGTTCCGAACGCAACGTAGAACCACCAAGCACACCAGCAGTAAACATATCAAAGACGTTGTTATCCTATATAGCCAGATATTACAAGATAACTAAATTAAATTTAAATTGTTATTAAATTGTTATTAAAAAAATAAAATATTTAAATTGTTATTAAATCGTTATTAAATTGTCTGCTATTATATATGACACATCTCTGGATTGTACAAATTTCTTCATAGATGAAACTTTCCATGGATCTATGATTTGAAGAATATTGTCGAATTAAAAAGGACAAGAATATCGACTTACCACACGTGAGTCAATAGATAATTATCAATGATGATCCAACCACCCCGCCAATGCGTGATGCACGCCACTCCGAAGATGTAAGTGTACAGAATTCGTAACACGTAATAAGGCAGTCGCTTTTGCCAATTTAATTTAGCCCACTTGTTCATGTAAATATCGTGAAATCGATATTTGAAAATTGCGAATGTTGCATGTAACATGGCGCCGAATATAAAACAAAGCCAGCCGGAAAACCTGTTGACAGAATCCTTTTGCATACGCGTGTAACAAATCACGAGACAAGGGGACGATGTTAAGAGCAGCATCGACGAATTACGCATTATTATACAGTTATTAAGAAATATTTACGGTAATTTCCTATTCATTCAAGTTCATTCCCGTTCATTGTTATTTTGATTAGATAAGAGCTTATTAATAATTATTAATGGTATTAAAAATTGGCCGCGATTTGCAAGATGGCACGCAAAAAATATAATCGACTGACAAAATTTTAAACTATCAAGAAGACTCCACCATATCGCAATTTTTTATTGCGATTTTTATTTTGATTCTCCTATTTCTTCTGGTACTTACAATTGCGCATGAAGATCCATCCATGTCCATCCTCCCCTCCAAAAGCTGACCGCTAAAGGACCGATTATATTCAAGGAGATTAATGTGTCGAGTAAAGAAAACGTTCGTTTTCTTCTTTTCTCTATCTTTTTTGTCGGTTTGATTTCTCCATGAGCTTCTTCATTGCATATACAAATATTGTCTTCCTATGGTCCGTTTGCAAGATTAATTCAGAAATTTAAATTTATTCAAATTATAAAAGAAACAGGTGACGCGAGTTAATTTAATCATATTAGAAGTTTATATGATACTATTAAAAATTGAAAATAAAATCCTAAATATAGCTTTATGGGTAATATATTTATTACATATGCGTACATTTATTAAAAAATATATTAATGCTGTATATATTTGATTTTAAATAACTTTTGGGAATATTTTAATTTACAATCGATAATTGACAAGAATAAAAAAGTAAAAAAAAAAGAAAAAAAGTAAAAATTTTACCTGTGTATTATTTTCCGACGTATCGTTGATATCTGGTACTGTCTCATTATTCTTATATTTTTCACCCTGTATTTCTTGTCCTATTTCTGCTTTTTCATTCGTAGGCGCAATAGGGTGATTATTTTCAGGTTGATTTATCGGCATTAATAAGCTTTTACATTCAACAATATTAGAATATCTTTGCGATATTGTTTGAGTATCATTGTTTGAGTGAAAATCTTTTTCAACAGATTCTTTTAGAAACTTCTCTTCACCAGTCAACCGACGCGATTCTGTATTGTACATATTTATTTCCTCGTAGGATTAAAAAAAAAGATTCTCATTCGTTTTATCGCACATTATCGCGTGCGCGATGTTACTACAATTCTGTAGACTGACCTAGTGGGAAATCGATAAAACAAGTAGTGATAAAACAATGCAAATAAAGGAAGGTTTAGAGACGCAAACACCTTAACGCACTCAATAGAACTGCACTCATTTAATTGAAAAATAATGCGGCGACCAGCGGTATCGTCATCGTGTTATGTTATCCACTTAGAAGAACTATCTGGAGTATATTCTAACAAATCTTACAAATAAAATATGTATGTCAGGTGTTTCGACTTGACTTTTTTGTTCGTTTTGTCACGCAAATCGTGTCGTATATTCACATTCCGAGACTAGTGGCGGTGGATATAATTCCATTTGTTATCAGATTTATTCAAGATATGATTATATGACAGGTGTCATAATAATTTCGCTCAAAAATTCCACTGTTTTAGCACATAAGTATAGAAGATTCTTGATGTAGTCAGAGCTACAAAATACAAATCTTCTCGACAAAATGCAAATCTTTCCTTATTAAGTATTCTAAAAAGCACACGTCAGAACTTATTGACTTTAATAACTTTAATAACTTGAAATTGCATCACGCGTGTGTCAGAAAAAGACGGAAACACAAGTAAATTCATGCTATCCTTTTCCTCTCAGGAGGATACTCCTCGCTACCTTATAATCAGTATCTTATAATCAGTGATGTTAATATGTTTATGTATGCACTGAGAAAAAATCTGGTTGCATTAATTAGAAATCTGGTAGATTAAATCAGTATGTCTGTTAGAAAATAGAAGAAACAGAATTCTTTTAGAAATTATCATGAGTATGATCCTTGCTATTAAATTTATCAAATTTTCTTGTTAATAATACTAAATTTACTTAAAAAATGGCATTACTGTGTCCATGTTTAGTTAATATAACAAGAAGTTTTATAGATTCAACTAGAAAATATTAACTAAATCCTTGTAATAAAATCAATTAAACGTTCTAGTTATAAAAAATCGAGTCTTATTATGATAACTAGAAATTCTGCTTGGTTTAACCAAAATGCCTTCTATCACATCTTGTTGATACAATCAAACGATTTTTCTCAGTATGCAATTACTCACATGAGTGTGTATATCTGTGTGCATTGGTTTATTATCATATTGGTATACTGTTTAAACGTGTACTGCTAATTGACGCAGCATCTTTTCTCTCGTGTAGGCTAAAATATGATTTTATATTTGAGATAACGCAATATTCGCGGATATAAACGAATTAGATGTACATCTAAAATATACAAGAGATAAAAATTCAACAGAGAAAGTTAATGCTCTAGAAGTTAACGAATATGCCAATTCACGAAAATTAAATATCATATTGCGAGGAACCATTCTATTATCTCTTATTACATTCTAAATATCAATAATAACAATAATATAATTAAACAATTCTGCATTTTACTTTATATCCAGAATTAAACTGAATAATGTGAGACAAAATATGCGTCTTAATCATCTAAATATTATATCTAAAATATTTATATAAATATAATAATTTGATATATACATTATCGATGTTTCTCAGAGAATCTTTAGTAATAATTGATATTTATGCGCAATCCTTTTCTTTATTTTATATTACCGATATGATAATTAATTAAATAGAAGCTTTGCTATAATAATGACTTAAAGATAGATTTGAAATTATTGTGAATCTTACAAAATAATTAATTACTTTATAAATTTTTATTGCATATATTCTTCCATAAGGCAAAGAAATTGAAAATAAATTATATATATATATATATACAAGTTTCATAAATGTATAATTTTAAATCTTTTTTCTAGATAATTTTTGTTAATAATTTATAATTAAATAATACATAGTCATTAATATTTAGTGAAATATATGTATATATATACTCTACAATACATATTTCGTAAAGTATGGTTCAAACTTCACGAGCATTAGTCTTTAAAGAACCTAGGTAGCAAGATGACGTCTAAAGACGTCATCTTGTTACTTGGGAATATTTGCTCAACAATTATTTAACAATAATTTTGTCAATTGTTTATATTTTTGACATGTAATTTGTTCGAATCATTTTAATTTTACATCGATATAAATTTTAGTGCAAAAATTCTTTTAAAAATATGCCGTTGAAGTTTGACAGTCTTACAGAGAGCATTTTGTATATTACATAAAAATGTAATATATAACTAAATTAGCGAAATCCAAATTCGAAAGACAGTAATACTATTTTTGTTTTATATCTGCATGTTGTTTTATGTTTGCATCCGTTCTTACACATTTAATATATCTATCAAAAAAAAGAATAATCGAGAAGACTGAATAAAATCTATTTAAAATGATAAAGAGGATGCGTTCGGGGAGCTTATCGCATAAATGCTAATGTTATCAATACTGTTCATGGAGTTCAAATAGCGAACATAGTAAACGATATTCACTGCCATTGTTCATGGAGCTCGCAAATATTATCACTATCAATGCATTACCTCGAAAAGAATAGCGTTGATAGTGCGCAGTTATGACGTACAACGCTACCAGTAATGACATCATGAACGCATTTATTAGCGTTCCATCTAGCTCTGCGAATCTATAGCGCTAAATAGCGCTAAATAGCGCTAATAACTGCCCGAACCCAGAGAAAAATCAATAGAGTATATCTAAGAATTTCTTACCAATATTCAATTGTTTATTTGTTTTACACAGAATTTTTAATATTTAAGTATATGTGTATAAAAGAAAAGAAATCTCCTTTTACGTAATGTAAATGCATTCTCTTTCCGATAAAGGTCATCAAACGTTCATGTAATTAAATGTTTCATATAATAAAAATAAATTTAAATTTCATTAAGGCATTTAAAAACTTCTAATTATTCGTTACGTTCGCTACAAAAGTTGTTGCGATTACTTCGTATTTTTATATATATTAAGAAGAATTATAATAATATAATAAATAACAATTATATTATTTATTATGTATGCAATGCACAATATAGAAGACAGACTAGATGTTTCAAGATACGCGTGTGCGTAGGGACATGCTTTGTAATGCTGATTATAAAAAAGAGTTTGAAGTATACCTTCTATATTGTGCGATATATCTTTATTAAATTATATTTTTATTATATTATTTGCGCGCTCTTTATCAACACCAACAATATGAACCTGACTTGAAATTAGTACCTAATGCAAAGCAGGCCATCAATACTTTTTTGTCAATGCTTACATATAATTACGCTCGCGTATACGCGCAAGGCGACTTCGCGTATAATAACGAACGTGATTTTGAGTATTAACGTTATATGCATTAAAATGTATAACATTATAATTAGAATTTATTATATAAGAAATACGCAAATCGAACTTGATAATTGTACAAATTGTTTGTTATATTTTAGTTATAATACTGTAGCTCTAGAGCTTTCCATTATTCCCTCTTTACTATTACTTACCTGAAAGTCTTTATGACTCTTTATTAAATTAATCGCTATCCGCCGTAGAATCCTTTAATTCAAATTCGTCTACATAATTATATTTTGAATTCTTTTCTTCCACAGATTTTATACACTGAAAACGAGTACATACAACTGAGATAATTGTATAAATAAAACTTGTTTATACTATAAAATAAAATTTTAAAATCATTTTAGAGTTGTCAGCTCTATTCAAAAGATGAAAGGATGAACGAAAGAAAAAGTTTAGTTTTTCATACATATTTCATCATTCAAAAAAATATTCTGATGAAAAAGTACACATATTGAATAAAGTTAAAATAAAATTAAAGTTTTATTTAAAGACTTAAAATTACTATTGCAATTTTAAATTTTTCTAAAAATACAATAAAATATAATGATGCGCGTAAATAACAATTGCAAAAAATAATAAAAATACAATAATTAAGATATTTTTAAAAAATCTGGTTGGCAATTCTATACAGAGTATCATTTGATTATAACTTGAAGAATGTAAAATATAAAAAGTTACTCTTACTTCTTCAATACGTATTCTAGGTGCCATTATTTGTTCAGGATAATGCCATGGCTTGTAATTTGGATTATTAAGTATTTTCCAGCTTGGATAACCCACAGAGGCCTTGTGTAATCGTTTTACCATCTACAAAAAATAGTTTTATAAGGAAATGTATATTTATAAGTTAAATACATTTCTTTATAAGAAATCTCACTTTGGGAGCAAATATCTGTGTAATTTTATTGACCAACCACACTGGTAATTTACCATGTGGATCTGTGTGCGATACATAGCCAAGCTCCGAACCATCTCCGTTACGCGAAGGTCTTACAATATAGCCTTAAATATAATATATTATTTCATACATATATTTAATACATATGTATATATCTTTTATACGAAATATTAAATAATTTCTCAATCTTACCCGTGAGGTAAGATGTTGCTCGTACAAAGTGTTTTCTAGGTGGATAATCTTTGTGATAAACGGAATGATTTATTATCAATTGTTCTATACCAGTATCTAGCCAAGATCGTTGCAAGATAAAATCTCTATTTTTTAATGGAGATGGGCAGGCCACTAAAATTTTTGCAGTATGAATAAAATATTCCTGATACAAAGATCAAATCTCAAAGATACATAAAAGCATAATACTCACTAGAGTAATAACCAATGTCATTATTTGGATTAAAAAATCCTATATCTTTTGATTCAATCATATGAGTGTCCCAAACTTTTCTATATTCAGGATCATGTAAAACATCATATAATGTTTCCGGTGAAATGTCAGGAAAACGTGTTCTAATCTGTAAAATTATATTGCTCCCATCTTGATTGTAAAAGAGTACAGTGTTCACTTATCAATAAAGAACAACTCACTTTCACCATTTTAAAGCTAATCCCTCTGACAGATTTTGTCCAAACGGATAAATCTGGTTTGTTATAATCTAATTTCCAGTCATTATTATCATCGTACAGTTGCTTTAGTTTCTCGAAATCTTTATCTTCTGCAATTTTGACAACGCCAATATCCATTGTAAAGTAGAGCAATGTCTAGAAGTGCAATAATATAAATGTTACACATGTATATAAAAATGTTATAAAAATATTTCTAAGCCAAAATTATTTTTTACCTGTTGATTACAAGTTTAATAATAGGCAGGCAGTACTATCATTTCTTTCTACTCAGTCTACAACAATTCTATAATTCCGCACAATATTACATAGAGATTACAGGAATATTTAAGACATATAATAATTTTCTTGCATTCCATCTGCAAGGAAAATTCATTTACATATATTGCATATTATGTCAAGATTTAAATTGAAGAAAATAGAAAAGATACACACATACATACATGCTTCTTCGATTCTTTCCACGTTTTCCCCATTCGTTTCGTGGAATAAGACTGTAACAGTCATAACACACGTCTGGTTTAAAATCTCGTTATCACAAGTGATAAAAACTCGAGGTAACCAAATAACGCTCTTGAGCGTATGTCGCCAATAAATTGGGGCGGTCATAGGTTAATTCTAAACGGCACGTACAAGTTAGACATCTTGTGGAGAACATCGGGAACGGGTGATGAGCAAGCTTATGTCTGTAAGAATCCCAAGCAACATTCCTTCTGTCAATGCTGACCTCTTTGCATTCGACGTCCGCTTCGAATATCGATTCGATGGAACGAAATTTACGAATGCGAAAATTTCACTATCAGTGGCTGCGGCAATAAACGACGATGACATCTGCATCCTTGTTGTCGCGTGCCATCAAATTAGCACGTGGACTTCGCTATCGAAGGCTATCATCGTCGTTTTCAATCTGTTTCGTGTGTTGACAGTTGAACTGTCATTATCAGCCGGTACAGCCGGCATAGAATGAAACCAGAAATGTTAAATGATACGCTAGCACTCTGGAGGGGATACGCACATTAAAAGCCAGTTCATTGAATATGTACGTACGACCAGAGAGAAGACTGAGAGATGTCATGACCTGTTTTTAGTCGATTCCTGAAAGCGATACTCCCTCTATGGACATTGAAGACGTGAACATGAACTACAAAGCCATTTCCATAAATGTTCTCAGAGGGTATCATGTGCACAATTTCTGGTTTCGTTCCGTGCTATGTGCACGAAATGCCGGTAGCACCAGAGTATAACAAGACACTCATGTATATAAATTGATAGTAAATAAATTATGCAATCGTGAAAGATACTGTAATCTTCCCATGTAATGTTCAAAGATGAAATAAATATTTTTCTATATTCATTGCCATATATTTATATATTTTTATTTACGAAACACAAAATGCCTTCTGTGGAATACAAACTTTTTTAACCATATTTCTATCAATCTTCTTAATTAGCAGTAAACTGATCTTTGATATTTATCAATCATTTTTTATTTAAAAATTTATTTATTTAATTATTTGAAAATTTAAGTATTCTCTTATCCCCTTTTATATATCATCTGTTTCAATTTTTAATTGCGGTAATGAAGCATTTTACGATTCGATAAAGATTTATGGTTGCGATACAGTTTCATATTGTTAATTAATTTTTAATTAATTGTTTTATTAATATTTAAAGCAAATTATGTTTTGATACTAATCGTAATCGTATTTAGTAAGAAAATTATAATATTAGAAGCGTTTCTCACTACTTTATTATTCAAAAGTCATCGCGCGAATGACAAAAAGCAGTAATGTATAGCACGCTACTGTTTATATTTTATATTGTCAAAGTCGAACGCCGTGTTATCGATAATTCATTGCCGAAATATTTTATATATCATTATAAAATATACATTAACATGTTATACATTAATATATTAAATTATGGAAGTATTTTAATTTATTGATTAAAATTGATTATTTATTAAACAATTTATCACGGAGCTAATTATTTGAATTTATTTGATTAGTTTACCGCGCTTTTCCGAAGTCAAATTTTATAATATTTAGTTTTGTACTTTAAAAGATTGGCTTATAGCGAGCTAAATAAATAAATAAATAAATGATGTTGAAAAGAAAAAAAGACACATAAATAAATAAATAAATAATAGCGTGAAAAGAGAGAACATACTAATATTTTTATATAATAAATTATTATTTATTAAATTATTTATATTTTTATTTATATTATTTATATTATCAGAGAGACATATATGTTACCCTCTGAGAACATTCTCTGGACATTGGCTTTGTAGTTCATGTTCATGATTTTAATGTCCACAGAGGGAGTATCGCTTCCAGGGATTACCTAAAAGCAGGTCATATCTGTCAACAGCGTGGAGGCGATGCGATGCGTATGCGCTCAACGATGATTGGAGCTGACCGAAGCCGACCGAGCGTGCACAGAGAGACTGAGAGATGTCGTGGCTCGCTTTATCCCTGGAAGTGATACTCCCTCTATGAACATTAACAACAAAATATGAACTACAAAACAAATGTCCACGAAGGTTCTCAGAGGATAACATATATTGTATGTCCCTCTGATAATATAAATAATATAAATAAAAATATAAATAATTTAATTAATAATAATTTATTATATAAAAATATTAATATGTTCTCTCTTTTCCTTGCTATTATTTATATTATATATTTATATTATATATTTATATTATATGTATAAATATTACATTTAAGTGTGAGTCCAAGAAGCAAATTTCGGATATTCACTGTAAGTCAGCCGCTCTTCGGGCGATCGGGACAAGATTTAAACGGTAGTGCCGCGAAATGGTGTAGAATTTTACGCAAAAAGAACGAAATCGCGTCTGGAAGTCGAGATATAAATTCGCTGTTTTTCGTCTGCGCGCGGACAGTCGAAATCGTGCACGACGCCGCGCATGTTGCCTGCCTATCTCGCGCAATATTCACTGTAACGCGGCAAGTAAAATAGCAAGCCGAATGTAATCGTTCGATTAATTGATTAAATACTTATATATACCGAACGAAAAGATGAATCGGAATGCAAACGTTCGATTAATTAATTAAATATAGATACTACGATCGCGGCGAAGCGGTGGGCGGGTCGCTCTCCGAAACATGATGGTAGTTTGCGATATATCGCGATTGTTCCGTGATACATCAATCATTCATAATTAATTAATTTAAAATAAAATATACTTCTATTTAAAATGTCGCGTGTATATATAGTACGCAAAATATTTCGGCAGAGAATTATCAATTAATATCATATGTTTGGCCTTGATGACGTATAGAAAGCGGCTATACATGTCATAGCTTTGCCATCATTCACACGGTGACACTCGAATATAGAAAAATATTTAACAACATGATAATTAAGTAAAGAGCATTAAGAGCCCACAAACCAATTCGTTTCTTATAATTTATATTATCAGGAGAATATATTGTGCGAGGAGGTCGATGATGCGTTGATGACCTCTTTACAAAACATGTTCTCCTAATAACGCAAACGTGAAAATTTTCGAAAATTCGTTTCTTATAATTTATATGATCAGGAGAATATATTGTACGAAGAGGTCGATGATGCGTTGATGACCTCTTTACAAATAATGTTCTCCTAATAACACAAACGTGAAAATTTTCGAAAATTCGTTTCTTATAATATATATTATCAGGAGAATATATTGTGCGAGGAGGTCGATGATGCGTTGATGACCTCAATACAAATCATGTTCTCCTAATAACGCAAGCGCGAAAATTTTCGAAAATTCGTTTCTTATAATTTATATTATCAGGAGAATATATTGTGCGAGGAGGTCGATGATGCGTTGATGACCTCTTTACAAATCATGTTCTCCTAATAACGCAAGCGTGAAAATTTTCGAAAATTCGTTTCTTATAATTTATATGATCAGCAGAATATATTGTGCGAGGAGGTCGATGATGCGTTGATGACCTCTTTACAAATCATGTTCTCCTAATAACGCAAGCGTGAAAATTTTCGAAAATTCGTTTCTTATAATTTATATGATCAGGAGAATATATTGTGCGAAGAGGTCGATGATGCGTTGATGACCTCTTTACAAATCATGTTCTCCTAATAACGCAAGCGTGAAAATTTTCGAAAATTCGTTTCTTATTATTTTATATTATCAGGAGAATATATTTTGCGAGGAGGTCGATGATGCGTTGATGACCTCTTTACAAATCATGTTCTCCTAATAACGCAAACGTGAAAATTTTCGAAAATTCGTTTCTTATAATTTATATGATCAGGAGAATATATTGTGCGAGGAGGTCGATGATGCGTTGATGACCTCAATACAAATCATGTTCTCCTAATAACGCAAGCGCGAAAATTTTCGAAAATTCGTTTCTTATAATTTATATTATTAGGAGAATATATTGTGCGAGGAGGTCGATGATGCGTTAATGACCTCATTACAAATCATGTTCTCCTAATAACGCAAGCGCGAAAATTTTCGAAAATTCGTTTCTTATAATTTATATTATCAGGAGAATATGTTGTGCGAGGAGGTCGATGATGCGTTAATGACCTCTTTACAAATCATGTTCTCCTAATAACGCAAACGTGAAAATTTTCGAAAATTCGTTTCTTATAATTTATATTATCAGGAGAATATATTTTGCGAGGAGGTCGATGATGCGTTGATGACCTCTTTACAAATCATGTTCTCCTAATAACGCAAGCGCGATAATTTTCGAAAATTTGTTTCTTATAATTTATATGATCAGGAGAATATATTTTGCGAGGAGGTCGATGATGCGTTGATGACCTCTTTACAAATCATGTTCTCCTAATAACGCAAGCGCGAAAATTTTCGAAAATTCGTTTCTTGTAATTTATATTATCAGGAGAATATATTTTGCGAGGAGGTCGATGATCCTCCGCCGTATGGACCACCTCCGAGGCGGCGGAGGCATCGTAGCCCCCAACATCACCTCCCACAAATTATTGTGGGGGGAGGATGACCTTGACAGGGGGCGGGGGGCCGATAGATCGGTACCCCCTCCCCCGGCCAAGGAGAGATAGGGGGGTACTGTCTCGGGAAGCGTACGCTTCCCGCGGCAGTACCCCGCGAAAGGCGAGTAGGAGCCCTCCGGGGGCGCGGCCGAGTCCTGATCCCTAAAGGGAAAGGAGGGAGCCCGCCCCCGGAGGGACATACCAACAAAGAGCCCTAGGGTGCTGCCCGAATCTCAACCCTTCTTGGGGAAGGGAGGAAGGCCCACCCTGGGGCTCGGGGGGCCGGGGCTCGAGCGGGAGACTCGAGCCCCGACCCCGCCACCCGGAAAACACCGAGGAGGGCGTGGCGTGGAGGTGATGCCCCTCTGCGCCACAACTAGAGCAGAAGCCGCCATACAGGCGGAGTGGGCGGGCCCCAACCCTCGGGGGGGTTCGCCCACGAGGTTAGGTCGTGTGGGTGGGGGGAGGACGTCCGGTTGACATCGCTACGGCGCACCCGGTCCTCCCCCCAAACACCCGAGTAGGCATCCGGTGGAGTTTTAGTGGGTATACTGGTCTTTCAGACCAGGAATCCCACATAACCCGCCCTCCCTCCCCGGGGAGTGCGGGTATCCATAAAGGATTTCTCCACCGTTATCAAAAAAAAAAAAAAAGAAAGTCGATAATGCGTTGATGACCTCTTTACAAATCATGTTCTCCTAATAACGCAAGCGCGAAAATTTTCGAAAATTCGTTTTTTATAATTTATATTATCAGGAGAATATATTGTGCGAGAAGGTCGATGATGCGTTGATGACCTCTTTACAAATCATGTTCTCCTAATAACGCAAGCGCGAAAATTTTCGAAAATTCGTTTCTTATAATTTATATTATCAGGAGAATATATTTTGCGAGGAGGTCGATGATGCGTTGATGACCTCTTTACAAATCATGTTCTCCTAATAACGCAAGCGCGAAAATTTTCGAAAATTCGTTTCTTATAATTTATATTATCAGGAGAATATATTTTGAGAGGAGGTCGATGATGCGTTG